TTCCCAGTATTGCTTTACTTTCCACTGTAAATATTCAATATAAATGAAAGATTAAGTCAGTAATTAGTTATTTTGAATACTATTGCATTTGATATTATAAAAAGAACAAACAGTACACATAAGCCAGCATTTTATGAGACTGGATCTGTTTGTATTACCATACTATGTATCATTTCACCACTATATAGCAAATTAATAAATTCATTTAAGTGAAAATAAGATATATTTATACATGTTATGGAAAGAAGACTTTCAATAAATATATGCTGAATTTGAGGTCAAAATCTGATATTTGAAAATACTATTGAAAAATATTATTAAATGCATATAAGGAGTCATTTACAAGGCATTCACAAAAGAACATCAGGATAAAGCTAAAACCTAGTTGTAGCAATTCAGATGTAGAGAACTGGAAGAAGAAAACTAAGGGAAATGGAAAAAAGAAGAGACCCAAGAAAAGGAAAAAGAAAATTTCTTCCATCCTCCAGGTTTCTTGAGAAAAGAAACCATTGGTTCTCTCTTTCTAAAAGGCATGAAGGGACTTGGAGAGAGAATGACAACTTGTAAGGAAAGTGGAAATGACAGCATTTGAAAGAAAAATTCCAAAAGAAATGCTTGAATAATAAGAATGTTCTTCCAAATAATATGGTGGTTTCTAAGAGGAGGTGTAATGGGCTATGAGAATAACCTTGAGAGAGAGGAGGAAGAGCTGCCGTTTAGATAACAGTCTGATAAAAGAAACCTAGTCCAAAAAAGGCATGAAGATGGAGAATGTACCTCAGAATTGACCCTCTCTAATTCTCTGGAACATAAAGGCGGGTAAGGGAAGAAGCACATTCAGACTTGCAAGACTGATGTTCAGCCCTTTGTGATAGTCCAGACCAGGAAACTAAAACCATGAATACCGCTACTACATCCCAAAGTTATTCTTACGGCCAGTTACAGAAACCTAGAGGGAATGGAGATGTTTATAAAACTTTCTGGCCAGTTCATATGAAATTATAATCTGCAGATTCTATTTAGAAATCTATTCACCCAAACAATACAGAAGGTGAGAGTTGAGTTAGGGGTCCAATACAAGGTAGGAGGGCTGAATGAAAAGGGGAGTGCTGGTAGAGATGAATAAAGGAAAGACTAGAAAAAGCTCATACATTAGGAGCTAAGGGTTCTTGGGATAAAAATACTACACATGTCTAGCATGGTATGTGAGAAGTATTAAGGAAGGCTTATGCTACATTATGGAAGCTTCTGGAGACAAAGGCACCAAATTTAAACTCAACAGGATAGAAGAGGGGAGCAACAGCCAACACTATCAGGACACAATCAGTTTTCTGAAATAGTTTGAATCCTCCAATGCAATGAAGATTCTTGACTACAGTAGTTGGGTCACAAGCTGGTAGCTTCAGCCAAGTTTGAGCCAGCCAAGAGAAGCCTTGCTTTTCTCCGCACAGTGACAACCAAAGGTGGGGATGAAATGTGATACAGAGAAAGTGATTGTTAGAATTGATAGAAATTATGGGCCAAGATGGTCAATGAGCTATAGGACAAAAAAGGATAGAAAACAATGTGATGCCTTGATTTGAAATAATCAACTTTGCTTTTGTTTTGTAAAAGATTACTGTATGTTAAATATAATGAGTGGAATATGGACTACAGAGAGATTTCTTTAGCAAAATACAAGAGCATCTACATATATTAGTAATATTGTATTACAAGAGCTAAGGATTAGATTCTGTGCTAGAGACACTTGTACTACCCAACAAAGATTCTCATGCATAAGTAATTTGTATATGAATGAATTTGGTTTGTCTTATATAAGTCTACTGGCAAATCTGAATGACAATGATTTAAATTACAGGAAGTCCACTTGCAGAATCTACTTGTTGGGTACTCCAATTCCAGAATAATCACTGTTGAACCTTGGCTTTGTGAATGGCAGTTGCTTCTGAAAAAGTAATACAATAATGTGCAAAAAAAAAAAAAAACCTGCCTTTTTTGTATGGCGTGCAGAAATGTAGCGGGCATCAGTTTATTTGCAAAAACAACATGCAGCAGCATCTTGAGAGTTGTTCAAAGTACTGCCTTTTTGTATTCTCAATTGTTGTAGTTTTATACTTCTTTGCCATACTTATTCTACCACAAAGAGAATTGTCTGTTTATTGCCTGTTAATACCAGAGGTATATTTTAGACAAAATTAACTAATTTCTTTCTTGCCTGGTATTAATGCAAAATATTTATTTTTAATTCATTAGGATCAGTAAGATTTCAAAGTGCTTAATTTTGTTTACTGTTTTTGTGAACGCTAGCTCACATGTTTAATAAACATCATAACAAAGTGTTTCTCATATGGATAAGAAAAACTTGGAAACAACCAGGGGTTAAAAATAGTTTCTTGAAGCAATTTAAGTTTCTTTAAGCTGTTGAGTTCAAAATGCTAAATGGATCTTCTTCCAGCTAGACTTCTACTGCCAGTTGCTTTATTCACAGGATAAACAGCCAGAAACCAGGATGGCTGATATGCAATAATCATTTCACTCAACTAACTACTCAGCTCCCAGACCAGAAAATAGCACTCAGGGCGCTTTAAATCAAGTAAAAATGAGAGATGCAATAAAACAGAATTTTAAAAAAATATCAGCTTTCTTCCAGCTTTGCACAAAAATTGAGGTAATAAGCAATTATTGATGGTGATAGCAAACATTTCAGCGAAACAGACGATATGTGAGCTCATCAAAACTCCAATGCTACTTGAAAAAAAAATGTTTTTCAGGTGGGTAAATAAAGTACCAAAATTGTTAAAGCACTTACATTGTAAAGAAGTAGACCTGTAAGACAATTACAGTGGTGGGATTCAGCCGGTTCGCACCACTTCAGCAGAACCGGTAGCTAATTTTTTGTTGCCCAGGCCCAGAATGGACTTCCGGAAGTTGCATCCCCACAGAGAACCGGTTGTTCACATATTTGAATCCCACCACTGACTATACATTATGATGTTGCACATTGCATTCAGGTTAATATTTACTAAGTAGTTAATATTTAGATTTAATATTTACAAAATATAATAGAAATTGAAATAATTAAAAACATTAAACAACAATTAAAAACATACAATGAATCAAGCATTTCAGCATGTCAGCACCTCCCTCCCAATACATTAACCACAGTCATGAGACAAAGGCCTAAAAAGGCTTTTCAGAGCCTCAGGAGACAGGGAGTGTCCTTATCACTCGAGGGATGTTGCTCCAGAGGGTGGGATGTTCAAAGTATGAAGCAACAGAATGTCAACTTCTTAACAAAATCAAAATAACAAATGGTAAATAAAATAAGTTTTCTCTCCCCCTAAGCAGTGCAACGTATTGCATAGGATCATATAAGAAATCAGAAAGGCCACCCAGGCTCTTCTCAACGATGTAGAAATGAACCAGTTGCTTTCCCTCCTCAAATTAGATACCAATATTTTCATTTTTTTCTGGTGACACAAAGAAAAGGAATGAATGATTATGCCTCTATATAAAACGTATCTCCCCTAGAATATATTACAAGGACCTGTTTCTGACTCTCTTACAAACTCCCTAGCAAACATAATAGTGTATGTTCATATACTGCTGAATATTTTTATCAAATATTAACGGTTGATTATATGTCACCAGAGATATTGTCTAGAATTTATAAAAGCACTTCAAATTTATGTTGAAAATGTGAACAAGAAGAAACATTTTATCATGTTTGGCGTGTGTTATAAAAAAAACCCTACATTAATTCAAAGGATTTTAATATAATTGAAACCTGAGGTATTTGGGAAAAAAAGTCATGGAACTTCATTTTTCTACATAATATTGCAGCAGGACTACTATTAGATTCCACAAACATATAAAAAAAATCAGAATTATCCACAATGGAGGAATGGTTGGTGAAATTCAGGGAACATACTGAGGTGGCCAAATAGACTTTTTGATCAGAGAAAAGCCAGTATCTATTTTTATTGCTGATTGGAAACCACTTGAGGATTTTTTTTGTGCGTGAAACCGAAAAAATAATCATATTGTTTTGATGAATAGATAGGATAGATTAAAGAAAGAAAAGAGTTGTGATGTAACCATAGAGTAAAAGGGAATATTATACTTACTTATAAGTGCTGTAAAGATGATTGGAAGCTACTTCCTTGTATCTATTTTTTCATGCTTTTCTATTTTGCTTTTACCCTCCCTCAACTTTCTTGCACTTTTAGCTTTTTCCTTGAGTTATTAATTTTTCTGTAATTCATGCAACATTTTCAGTTAGAGTTGTATTGATTTTATTTATATGCTGCTTTCCTTCAAGAGCTCAAGGTACGTCTTCCCATTTTCTTTCACAGACAACTTTTTGAGGGTAGGTTGCATGTGACTGCCCCAGAGTGACAACCTTGTGTTCTCTCTCTCTCTCTTCCTTCATTTATAAGATTTCAACTCTTCTACTCCCTGGCCAAAGCTAATTATGTTAGGGAATATGGAAGTTAAGGTCCAGTTCATTTTGAACAATTTCATTTTTACTGGCTAGACACAATTCTGGTGCCATCAAACATTCATCAAGTTTGCCTTGACTCTGAACAGGTTACATTATTTGTTCTTGCATAAACTATGTATCTTTGTGAGCAATTAACCAGTCACCATTTTTTGCTTTACATCATAACAAGCATGATCCTGCTATTTGCAGTATAGAATTTTTTATAACTGAAAAACCAGTTGATTCCATACATACTTCCTCTGTTTGTTTGTGGGCTACATGGCAGCTTTAATAGGCTCTGATACAGAGGGTTTAACATTTATTTAAAATGAAAGCCTTTCCATCAAGTGCTGCAGCTGCAGAATTAAGCTTATTTAACTTAGGTAAATATTAGCAGCATTTGCATAACCCACGTTTTTAAAAAAAACAAGCAGAATGTATTACAACACTGGAACAAAATTATTTGATACTTTACATATAAACAGGATTTATCAGACATTGCCTCTTGCAGACTTACAGTACTGTCGACATAGGCTTCAGTCCACACTACATCATGTTCTTGATCAATTACTTTAGGTCGACTGAGCACATGGAGATATTCCATAACATTTTCTTGCACATCAGCTAGGGTTGAGATCTGAGTGAAAAATCCTGGATATATTTGAGCAGAGAGAGAGAGAAAAATGTGGTCATTCAGACATAATCAAATGAGAAATACACATAAAAATTATAAATATATTTTCTCTTGGTGTTAAAAAGAGTGTGGTGTATGTGGAGGGGGGGGGGAAACCTGAAGAGGAAAAAAAAGTTGACCAAGGAAGAAGCCCTGTCAAGTTTTAATTTGTGAAAGCAGTAGTCTGTGAAATGATATGTCAGTCCAGAACGACTCCATTCCTCTGAGTGTTCTACACCATTGCACAGCTGTCCTGACTTTTTTTTCCCCTTCAGTTCTAAGTCAATTTTTTCAGCCTCAGGAGAAAGTAAAAAAAAAAGGAGGGAGTTTGTTCTTAAAGATAAATGCTTATGGCAGAGTTCTATTAACTTTTACTCCCTAACCTTTGCAACTTCCAAGTATCACAAATATGAGGGTGATATTTTTAGCTTTATCAAATTCTCTCTCTAACATTCTATACCTGAATCAGAGTTTCATTGCTTCCCACCAAAATGTTCTAATCTATCTTCATCCAGTTTTGGTCATCACTTTACAAAAAAGATGTTGAGACTTTGGAAAAAGTGCAAAGAAGAGCAACTGATAAAAGCCTGGAGACTAAAACATATGAAGAATGGTTGCAGGAGTTGGGTTTGACTAGTCTAGAGAAAAGAAGGACTAGGGGGACATGATAGCAGTATTCCAGTATTTGAGAGTCTGCCAAAAAGAGGAGGGGGTCAACTTATTTATCAAAGCACCTGTAGGCAGGACAAGAAACAATGGTTAAAAACTAATCAAGGAGAGAAGCAACCTGGAACTGAGGAGAAACTTCCTAACAGTAAGGACAATTAACCAGTGGAACAGCTTGCCATCAGAAGTTGTAGATGCTTCATCACTGGAGGTTTTTAAGAAGAAACTGGACAGTCACTTGTCTGAAATGGTAAAGAGTCTTCTGCTTGAGCAGGGGGTTGGGCTAGAAGACATCCAAGTTCCCTTCCAGTTCTATTCTGATTGATTGATCTCTTACATAACCCAGTTATCCGTGCAGGAACCTCATCTATGGCAGCATAAGGTCCTATGGACACAGCCACATAACCACACACTTCATTCCTCAGGTCATCATAAACTATTGGAAAACAATCCATGAGTCATTTTATGATGATTTGATATACCAAGAATAAAGGAAATTCGCTTCAACAAATAATGTTTCACATTATTGAAAGAGCTTGAGTATGAAACAAAAGGACAAAACATCCAATTCAAAATCATCATGGAATCTGTGTCATTTGCAGATTCAAGCATTTTATTCATTTCCCAAGTTTATTTTCATGCCATAGGATGGATTGTCTACATTTGGACTTTCCTGAAAAACTGAAGTTTCAAGCTTAGGAATCATAGGGTAGATATAATTCAACTTAAAAGTTACCTGCATTTTTCAAATAGAGTCAAAAATTCAAATAGCTGCTTTTTCTCAGGTGGCATTCAACCCCTTCTAATCTGAAGATGTTAATGAATGTATTAACTTAAAATATCATGGGCTCCCAGCAATTTTGAAGAACATATGAACACCAATAATAAAATCAGAAACTATCAAAGCCAAAAATATTAGCAGTCTATTTTCAGAGTGCATTTTAGGTCTTTTAAAAAGCCAACAAAGTGACCCTGAACTCAGCAGGAAGCACATAGCAAAGAATGGGGGCATCTTGTTTCAGAGTCACTTCAAGACAAATCCATGGCAAATGTAGGTGAACTTGTTTGGTCAGAAAATCATATGGAGAGAGGTTCTTTCCTAAACCTAAGCTATATAGGGTTTAAAGGTAATAACCCACATTTTATATTTCATCCAGAAAAAAAATAGCTGGCAAAGGCAATGCTTCTAAGTATAATGAAGCTTCTCTGGATTCTCCCAGAGACAAATTTAACTGTTGAGTTTTGTTCCTACCATACTTCCCAATCTCAACTCACAGGTCGCCCTATACACAACATGCTGTAGTGGTCAAGGTGGACACTACCAGCATAAGAACTATGCTGTTGGTCTGTGTGCTGATAGTGATGTTCTATGATACCTCAAAAGGCCACTTGTCAAGATTAGTTTTTTCCCAAACACCATACTGGTGACCTGATGCATTTTTCTGAGTCCTTTTCTTCTGAGTTATCAAAAATGCTTGATATATAATTCATAATTAGACAAACTAACATCAAATAAAACAGGTCTGTCAAATGATTGTAGCGAGGTACACTTTTTATTAAGATACACTTAACAGTGGTTCTTTTGTTTGTGTCAAGTTAAACATTACAGTCTGCCTTTGTTTTTACAGCTGGCAAACTTTCAGTTGTATTTGACTGCTAATCTAGCCCTTCAAACCTGGTATGCTGAACCTCTGTAAAACTTTATTTGAACATTGGACAATCTTGGTACTATCTGCAATTTCTTCTCCCTTCAGGCTCATTCTCCTCCAGGCTATTGGGGATATCACTGTAAATTCATTAGCTATTCTACAGCAGTGTTGGGATCTTGACTGTTTTAATGTATTTCAAATGGGTTGTCGCTCTGCCTCATTAAGCTCACGCTCTCTCAAGATATGGCCTACTTTTTTTACAAGAAAGTTGGAGCCAAGATAGGAAGTGGAGGTCTCATGCAGCATGGTGTAAATTTCTAATGATTCAGTTCTGGAGAAAAGACCTCATACCCTAAAATCCACTCACTTGGAAATCTTGTACAAATCTTTCATCTCTGCTAGGTGCTTCCAAGGGAAAAATCACAAGGAAAATTGATTTTGGGGTCAATGACCTCTGTGACAGCTACATGGTTTGACTTATCCATCTGTGCAGGAATTAAAAGTGTATTCCACTCCTTCTCAGATTCTGCAGTCCAATCTGCTAGGCCCTGATGTTTTTTGCAAGTATTATCCTTCACTCCCTCAACATCCCAGAACCTAGCAATACTGTAAATGATCAGGGTAACCTCTTAAAAATATAATTCCATGAGTGAACAAAATATGCTAGAAAAGACATTGTATAGAATCTGAATTTATCAGTTCAATTAATGTATCATGAAGGATGCCAGCTTCTTGTTCAGATAAATGTTGCCTATGTGTTAATAAAAGAATTTTAGAAGATGCTGATATAGATAGATAGATAGATAGATAGATAGATAGATAGATAGATAGATAGATAGATATAGATCGATATAGATATAGATATGTGTGTATGTATATAGATATAGATAGATACACACACACACACAAAGTATTAGGTGTACTTTGGTTGTAAGTGTCAAAATAAATAATTCATATTTACATGGATATAGCACCAGGAAAAAAAGTGTAGATCTTCTTAAATAACCAAGGAAAAATTAAATTTGGCAAATATTTAAAAAAAAACATTTTTTTCTTAAAATAAAAAAGTAGAAGAGAAAAACATAATCAGATGAGGTGTGTACTTTTTGGGAGACCTACACATGCTATGTCTTAGAGGTGTAATTTATTTTAATCTGAATTACAGTATTTAAATACAGTTAATATACTTCCTAATTCAATGTTTTTGGTTAATTTTATCATATTCCAACTTAGCTTTGTCATCTTAAAAAAAATCAATTTTCAAGCATCTTTTGGAGGCCAGACCAAAAGATTTTGGGTGGCCAAATCAGACAAGGGGAAGTTTTATTTCACTCTGATCCAACTCACATGGCTCCTCCACTTAGTTGTTACCACACTACAATGAATAGGAAGCAGCCTCTAAATCACAATTGCTACTCAGTCTGCTAGGTACAAGATAAGCACCAGATAGTCACTGGGAGCAGGCATGCAAGTGACAAAATGTGCATGACTTCATCAAGTAAATGCTTTAACTTGAATACTGATATCAAATTTTGGGACAGAGCGTGCAATGAGTATGTGAAGTCGTGATTATAGTGGAGCTTATTACAGATGCCATGGACTACTAGGTAGAAAAAATTATCTGGGGGTTCTCAAAGATACCTGCTGAAGAAGAGGAAGTCCCAGAAGGCACTGTATTCAAAATCCCAAGCTAAAGGGATTGAATACTAAGAAAGCAGGTGAGTAACCTTCTATATTTCCAATTTCTTCCCATAATTATTAAAACACAATTTTCAAAACCTTACATGGGACTTTTACACTAAGACAATTAAAAATAAGAACACAAAGACAAACTGCCTTCCAAGACTACAAAAAGATGGGACAGAACAAGATATTATCTTTTGGCTTGATAACCAATAATGTATGAGTAGTGATTGGGCAAGACTCTTGAAATCAACCATTATGAAAGGAAGTGCCTTTTCGTGAACAGATGTCCTTAGATCTTTATAAAGCGTGGGTAATGTACTGTCTGAAAAGTGAACATGCTTTGGAATTAACTAAACTGCCTTTGAAAAACTTGCTTCAAAGGATTCTTGTACAATGACTAAGTCTAAATCCTAGTGTGCAATATTAGCTGATTAAGACAAATCTTTAAACAGGATAATTTCCATCAGATGGGCACCAAGACTGGTTAATGCAGTAATGCATAACTAAATGCATATACTTCCAATGAGTCATTTAAATGTCATGTGGTGTGCACACATATATAAGTGAGAAAACCTTAGTACAAATGTAATGACAGGCAGAATTGCAGAATAAGCAAAGCATTTTTATTATTTTTACATCATGGCACCGTAATTGTGTTTTGGAATCACAATTCTGTCATTATTTATCAAGAGATACGTTTGCTTTAGTGTTGCCTGATGAATTCTATGCAACACTGGAATTTGTTATGGCTCCTCAATCTTTAGAAACGTAAGGATGAACTAGACCAAACACATATGCTTCATAGTCAAGAATTTCCTATTATTTTAAAATCAATTAAACCCCCCCAAAGCTGCAGTAAAACCTGATGAAATAATGTTAAGCAAGACGGTTTTCACCTACTATCTCTTTGCAGTAAATATTCAGGCATTCCAATTTGTGGAGTTAAGTACATCATATAATGCATGTGTGTCTATATCTAAATGCTGGAGAGAGACCAAGAAAAAAATATCATCTCTGAATTTAGGCCTTGCTTTCTCTCTTTAATATGCAAAAATATCTATTTTCCTTGGTAGGATTCCTTGATTTCTCTATGTAAATCAAGAACTTCCTTCCTTCCTTCCTTCCTTCCTTCCTTCCTTCCTTCCTTCCTTCCTTCCTTCCTTCCTTCCTTCCTTCCTTCCTTCCTTCCCTCCCTCCCTCCCTCCCTCCTTCCTTCCTTCCTTCCCTCCCTCCCTCCCTCCTTCCTTCCTTCCTTCCTTCCTTCCTTCCTTCTTCTATTGCTAAATTTAATTTAATTATTTTATATACTTATCTCTCTTCGCCCGCAGTTCAGAGTTACAAACAATGCCTTAGTAGGACACTGACCATAGTTTTCATTTTATATTTAGAAGTGAGTTGATACTCAAAGTCTATTATTTTCTTGTTGTCACAATTATTACAGGGGATGTTTGCAGTTGGTAATGCTACATTATTCAATCTTAAACAAGAAAGCTGCCAAAATTGAATATTTATATTATTCAATATAGGCAAAATGCAGACAAAATTATCAACTAACATTAAGATATAAATTATATTCTAAACACAAGTTTTATCCACTCAACCACCTAGGACAGGGGTATCAATCTGGCAGCCCGCAGGCCGGATGCATTACATGCAGGCCACGCCCACCCCAGCTCTGCGAAGGCAAAAAACGTTATGATATGTCACAATACATCATGTGATGCGATCGAGTTTGAAACCCATGACTTAGGAAAAAAGGGTTTTGTCAACTATCTTTCACTCTAAAACCTGCTTAAGGAAGACTTGATTTGGCAAGATGTCTGTAGAACTGTCACTAAACAACAGATATTCCTGCTTTTTTTCCCCTTCTATACCAATTCCGCTTCCTGATATCTGGGATCAGCAGAACCTCTGGCTGCCTGGGAAGTTCTAGGATTTGAACTCCAGACATTTCAAAGCTTCTAAGGTTGAGAAATATTGTTAATTTTACTGGCAGAGTGATTTCCTCCCAAACATACATAAATGGCAATCTTGCAGAGTTCATAAAGGGCTATGTTTTTAGGCTGCAGAGTCAAAAGTGGCATAATACATTACAAGCTAAAACTCAGTTAGTGAGTAATGACAACTGAATGATGTTCATAGAACAACTCCATTTCCCTTGGAAACAAAATGCATTTTTTTTATACAAACAGTTGCATTTTACTAAAATGCTTGTAATAGTTCCATTCGTCTTATCAAGAAAGAAGCAGTGACATACAGATTCCACATAATATTGTGCCCACAGAATTAACTGGCCTGGGATGAACAACCTGTTCAAGTTCCTTGCTTACAGGTGGTTCTTGAGTTATAACCACTTATCCAGTGATCATTCAGACTTGCGTAGCACCAACAAGAGAAACTTACAACTAGTCCTTGAAAATCTGTCCTTTGCAGAATTCCTGTGGTCATGTAATTGCAACCTAGGCACTTGTGCCTGACTCCTGATTATGACATTGCAGCAAGTCATGGTTATGTGATAGCCAATTCTGATACTATTCCATAAGCAAAGTCAGTGGGACAGCCAGCAGGAAATTGTAGTCACACAAGGTTCTTGCTTAACAACCCACCACATTTCTTGCATAACCATGGCAACTGGAACTGCTATCACTAAGTGCTGCAATCATGTGACATTGCACTTTACATACATGTTTTTTAGCAACAGCAATTCCAAGCATTTTGCCAGGTCATTAAAGTTCCAAAAAGAGCCAACCAGGGGAGCATATTTTGCATAGAAATGAAACCTACCTTTGTTGGCACAAGCCATCCATTTAAGATTATCTGCAAAGGCAGCTTCTCTTCCTATCAGGTAGGTGAAAATGCGAACCTGAAAATATAACTCTGGATTATTATAACAGAATTTCATTTACAGGAAACACTTTATATAAACCATTCAATTTGTATTAAGCAAGCAATAGCACCAGATAAAAATACCCAAAAAATTTACAAACACATTCTATTGGAATTTTCTTTTGAGCTGGATAAGCAATAATTTCACACACCTATAGATTTTGGTAACACACACAGTCAAATTTGGCATTTTCTAGAATTATAAGCAAATGTAAATGAAAAGGTATCATTTTGAAAGGTTAATATGAAACCACATGATTGACAATGTAGCACTTTGCACTGATCCCAAGCTTGCATTTAATTACTGTACTGCCACAAAAGACTACTGCATATGTGATAACATGAGGCAAGCTACTCCTAAAGTTTCTACCTCTCAAATGTGTATACTGAGCTAATACTATAATACAGATTTCTCATAATAATGATACATTATTTCAACCAAAAGAGCTATACAACACTCTCTGTTTGTGAGAGGGTCCATAAAGTCAAACCTTAAGAGTTCCAATTACATGAGAAAACTCAAAATAGTTGGAAGCATAAAATTCGATTGCAGTCCAAGGAAAATTCAGGTAATAAATATCTCACTTCATTAAAAATGACATATTTTTGTTGTTGCTACTTATTCCTGACAATCATTTATTTGGGAAAATACTCAAGAGCATTCATCCAGAGCCTTCTAACTCTAACTTCCCCAGGAATCCAGGAAAACCATCACCAGAGACAATCTTCTTACCTGAGTTGATTATTTTGTTTTAATTTTTTCCATGCAGTTTTAATGAAAATTTAAAAAAAAATCAAGTGTCCTAAACCCATCTTGAAAAAATAAAAAGATCTGGTGAGCCAAATCATCTTGATTTTACAAAATGTGTATGAAACAACAATGAAGTTTTTTCCCCCAATAAAGAAGGCAAATATACCCTATCACTTCAGTCTAAAAACTGCAATTATGCATAAATTCAGTAGTGATAGCTAAATTGGGCAACAAATTTCCAATAGCAGCACCAGTTCTGTTCTGGACTTGTCTAACTCACTGGACTTTCATCTTGAAGAAGATAATTGGTGAGAGCACATGCAGCAAAAGGGGGGAGATAAGCATTCTGAAATTGTTGCTGAAAATGGTGACTTTTTCTCTCAACCTGAGTCTATTAGACCTTCATCTTTTTCTCAGCGAGTTTAACAACCAATTTATTAGAATTGGATGAATTGGCTAGAAGGTTTGGGAGAAGATTTAAAGATTGCAAATATCACTCTAAATCCTGTAAAGGTTGTAAAGTTTTGAATTTAAAACAACAGAAGCATGAATACAACTACTAAATCTCTTATAATATCATTTCCCCAATATACATATTCAGAAATTCTTAAGATAATGAACAATATTACTGGAATTTACCATGTTTTGCAACTATTGTTCTTATGACACTTGCATCTCGCAGTAAGATGGGCAGCAAACTAATTTAATAAATAAATAAATATCTCATTTCTATGACCTTTAACTGGGTGAAATAGTGGGGCAACAATTTTGATACAAGGTATTTTAAATCAGGGGCCCCAACCCCTTGTCTGCACAAACAAGCAAAGCCCCATCTGCAAGATGCAGGCAGCTCACAAAACCACACACCCTATGGTCCACGGAAAAACCTCTCTCCACAGAACCGGTCTCTGGTGCCCTAAAGGTTGCAAACCTCTGCTTTAAATGGCCTAACTTACAGAATGTGTCCAAAATCTAGGACCCATAAATCTCAAAAGAATGAAATTTTGGAGAGTTATGGCTGTTTCAGCTGTGGGTCTACTGCTGTGGTCACATAATCCTCATTTTCAATGTTTCAAGACAGTTTCCTAGCCACTCTCACAATCCCTTGCTCCCTCCCCCACCCAGCAGCAGCCAATTATCTGTCTACTGCAAAGGGATCAAGAGGAAGTAAGTCTCATGCAGGCTTCCTGGCCTACATCTTGCCCTGTGTGCCTTCTTCAATCCATGCAGTACCTTCTGAACACCTCCACACATTCTCCCTGATCCTTCCTGCTCCCCACATGCCTTTCCTGCCCCACATGGAACTTTCTGTGTACTCTACATACTGTTCTTGACCACATCACCCCTTGTGGACCATCCCAAACCTGCATGGCACCTTTCATGCAGGCCCAAACACTCCCAGGCACCCTTCCCAACCCACATTGCCCCCTATACACCCTCTCGCACTTATCTGTGATGGTCATGTACCTTTATCAAGCTGCATCACACCCCCTCTCACTTCCCTGGCCCATGTGGCACCTCTTACATACCCCCAAGACCCCCCACAGATTCTTATTGACCCACATTACCCCCAATGTGTCCTAACTTATGTAGAATCTCTACCACACTGAAATGCATTCCTCCCACACAAGCTTTCTCCAATCCATGTGACATCTTTGATGTACCCTTCTCACCCTGCATCCCTTTGGTCTCTCCCATACTCAATATTTAGTAATGCAATAGAAATTTCACTACCATCACCACCACCACACCCTCTGGCTTCTGAGACTGGGTTCTGACCTTAAAGATAGGAATCCAAAACTGATTCCAACCCTAACTTTCTCTAGCTGTTTTTCAATCTGGGAAATCCTAAACTTAGAAAAAAAACCTACCCCATTGGTATACCCACCAATCCCCTGTATTGTTCCCAATCCATTACTCTGAATGGGAAAGACTGACTTTTTTAAAAATAAAAGAAGAAAATCAAGGGTGAGCTAACATTGCTTTTCCTACTTCTGTGCTACTGAAACTGTCTAGGCTCTAGAGACATGCTAGACTTCTTCAGAGTCTCCATCTGTGTACTCTAATCATGGGCTAGGTTTAAATTCAAACACAAGAAAAGATGAAGAAGATGGCAAGAAAAAGGTAGCCCCATGCAGAGATAAAGTAGATGTCCACCTTATTTATTCTGAAGCATATCAAATAGAAGTCAAAACAATTGTCCCATGATGAGAAGAATGGATTCTTAGTCCTTCTGATCAGCAGGCTGGTTCGCTTGACTAACATAGATATTCACTGTGCAAAACATTACCCAAAACCAATTTAGGTGCTGCCACTGAGATAGCATCCTATCCCATGTTGCAGACTAGTATAATATTTCCCACAGCCAATTAAACTCTGAAGTGCTTTTTTCTGGCCTATGAATCAATTTTTCATTACCTATTGCAGCTGTTACAAAGAATCAGTGAGCTAATCAACCAATGTCAAATCAAGAGAGCTGAAAATCTTGCCCAACAGCAGCCAGATGGGCATGAAAACTTCTTCCTCTATTCCTGGTTTTAAAAAGCAATAAGGCTCACTTGAAACATCGATCATATTGAACAGATTCTACCTAGTCCATACATAAACAGTGGCATATATACAGTATATAGCCCATTTCTTACTTCTTGAACTCATATCTTATATTGATAGGCAAGATGGATAACTATAATAGTTACTCTGAGTTTCATAGGGCCTCTAGGAAGAGAAGAAACATATATTTTTACCTCAGAGGTGACCAACACCATAGCAGGAATTAATCATCAGTAATAAAAAGCTCTTTGTAGTCTTGCCTACCCCAGGGCTCCCCAATCCCCAGACCACAGCTCACTACTGGGCCTTAAACCATTAAGAACCAGGCCATGGAAGTAGTGGATGAGCACGCACACACACACATCCACTTGCACAAGAGCGGGTGAGCGCATACGCTTGCACTCCATTTGTGTGAGTGGCAGGTGCATGTGCTCTCTCCTTGTGCAAATGGAGCTGCACACGTGCATGCGCTTGCCTGCTACTCGTGCAAAACCATCCCCTCCCCCCACCCCCTGCTGGTCCACAAAGCTGGAAAAGTTGGGGAACTCTGGACTACCCTGAGAGATCTACTTCCTTTTTATACCCTTTCAGAGTAATCCATATATATTTGCTCCCAAAGGTTATGTTGAGTTTGATTCAGCTTAACTGCTCACCTAAGCACAACTGCACTATTGCAAGCAAAATGTTTAATCTCAAAAAAGGGAAGAAAATAGTACCATCGGATTTATATCCAACCTCAGTACATAAATTGTCACCAGTGCTTACCTCAGAAAACAATGTGCTGAAATACATTCTAAATATAAAGCAAATCAGTCTAAGAGATTTATGGCTAATGGTCTTCTTTAACTTACACATACTCAAAAAACCATGTCCATAATAGAAGTAGAATAGGCTGAGCTGAAGCACAGAGAAAGATGGCCTAATGTGGCATCAGGCCAAATCACCAGAGAAACTGAATTCAAGTTATTAACATTAAACAACGGTCTACTGAAGATTGCTATCAAAAAAAGGTAAAGAAAATAACTGTTTTGTTCTTCTATCAAATATACGTGTATGTGTCCATGTGTCTATACCCACACACATATGTGAAATACTAAATTCCAGAAAAGATGTGACAGTTCTTATTTATCACAAGTAGCACATTGTACAATGATTTCCTAACCATTTTTCACAATTAAGCCTTTGGAGGCAATATGCCAACTTCTTTATAATCCCATAATTACAAACTTTCACCAAGCCACTTTTCAAAGTAGAAACCACAACATGAATTGCCATTATAATTCCCATCACAATATAAACTTTTTTTTCTGGATAGGTTCCTGTTTTGCTTACTAGTCTTCTACTTGAATTTAACTAGATTCCTTGAAAAGAATTTATGCTTACAGGTCTCTTTACTTTCTCTGGTTCACAAGCAAATCTTATATCTACATCTGGAATATCTAGAATATCCAATCCATTAGCATATGAGCTTTTATTATTTGAAACAGAAAACATGTAAAAAGAAAACAGAAAAAAATGTAATCTGCTAAGTATTAATATATTAAGTAAGTAACTTAGTTATTTAGCAGTACCATTTTTAAATAAAATATTTATTCTCATATTTCATAAATTCCTTTGTGTGTCCAATCACCCTTGGCTAATAAAGAATATTCTATTCTCCAGCATGATTGGATGGA